CGCTTGAAACGTTGAAGGTGTTTGGCCAGGTTCGAGAAGGTTTGCGCAAACGCGAAACCTTCTCGACGAGCGTGAGCAGCTCGGAGGGGCAAGACGAAGGCTCTCCGTCTGCGTCCAATGAAAGCTATTCCTCCCGCTAGTGTTGCCAACGTGACCGCGCAAACACGTTTCACGAACTGGTCGAGTGCGACAAAGTTTATGCACCGCCACGCCTCGACGTTACATGCACCAACAAATTCGCGCCTTCTATACACGCGAAAAGCTTCTTCCGCTCCATCAGTCTCCTCAGACGATCCTCTTCCTCTTGAGGAAATAAAAATCACATCCCATCTAGCGAAACTAGCGGCCGCGCATGTGCAAAACACGTACCGCGAAATATAGCTTTAGTCCGCCACAGGAGCAATCGGAGCACAGTCGAAATTGTGAAACACGGATCGCTCGGAAGATGATCACGCCGACGTTATCTAGATACCTGTGTACAAATTTCCGCGCCTTTTCGCCGATTCGCGCGGCAGCCATTATGTATACTTTCTGGGGACAAAATGCACTCGGGCAGTGCACTGTGGAAACGATTGAAAAACAAGTAAACGATAAAAGGGAGAAATGAAGATTATAATTGCTATTTATTGATAATAAATTTTCCAAAAAAAATTTCTGTAGTAAACAAACAAAAGATTGTACACATATATATGCAGAGCTACCAAACAAAGTTCGCATTCCCAAATAGTTTCACTCCTCTTTTTCTATTTTTGCTTTTTATAATTTTCACTATTTAGCATATCTTAGATCGATCGATTACAGCAGGATTATCTCCTAATTTTTCAAAAAATAAAGGTTAGGTTTAGATTAGGTTAGGTTTAGGTTTCCATGAAGATAAAACTTTTTCGATTATTATCTTTGGTGTTCAACCCAATTCCAATCATTTATTTTCACTTTCATTTGTTTTTATATTGGATCCTCATTATCAGAATCTTCGGAAGATATACTTCTAAAACGGATTTCTCTTTGGAACGAATTGTGTTCATCGCTACGCTTTTTCAAAATTATTTTCACGTTCGCCCGTATGCTTAATTGCGAGGAAAATTAATACTTCGTAATTAATCGAAACGGTGAAACTATATCGCAATTATATAGAATAATTATTATTCGAAATCGATCGCGATACAACACAGCGTTATCCCTACTATTAATTTGCACAGGTTGATGCATATTATTGCCCACAGAAAATACACCACGAGCCTCACTCGTTAATGACCATCTTGGCCATAAAAATACACCACGGGCCTCGTTATTCTGCGCGAATAAGTTAAGGGGTTGCTTATTTCTTTATTTCATTGTTTCTCAATCGGCAAACTCGTAGACCGTACAAGTTCTTCTTCTCTTCGGTGGATTCTCGCTTAACGCGGTCTCCTCCTCGTGTTTCAAACAAAAGAAAAAAAAAAAAGAAAAAATTAAGACACAAGGATGGAGGGAGTAACGAGCGAAAGGAGAAAGAAGAGAGAGAGAGAGAGAGAGAGAG